ACTTGATAAAACAATTCAATTTCGCAATATCTATCTGAACGCATGTCTGTAATATGCATATATAACACCCAGTCCCTGTCCCACACTAACTATATGAAACTAATCGAATAGAACTTTTTTCAGAAGTATAATTTAAATCCGCGCTTATAGAATCGAAAATTAATAAAATTAATTAATTGTATCATTTAGCGTCCAACCAAAATATTTCCACAAAATATCTCCAACTTAACCTAAATTTTAAGATAATACTAAATCTTATAAACAAGACTTTAATAAAGGTTAATGAAAATTAAACAGTACATACGGAATACAACTATCTAACTGGAACTTTCGAAAAGCCAAATCAGGCTTTTTTTAAATTAAAATCTCCATCCATGTAGATTCTTATTTTTCTTATCATTATTTCCTCCATCATTATTTCTCTTATCATTCTCTTGTCTGATCCATATTTTTCTCTTGTTTCATTTTTTTCGAAAAACATTCGCAACATATGTAGTTTTCGGCTGCTAACTTTACAGTAATCAATAACCGTCCTAGTTATTTCGCTCTTCTTAAGTTGCCCGACAAATTTGATAAGGGGACAGACTACCATAAAGCATATTTGAAAGCATCCTTCCCGATTTCAACTTAGTAATTATGGAGTCCATTTTTTTATATTTGTGAAATTGTTCACATGGCGTTAAGTCTCTTAATTTTTATGTTCTGCTTTATACGCATATATATAGTTTACTTTATTCCCAGCTGATATTAAGTTTCATAACGTTAACGTTCTACCTTTATTCGAAGGGTTTAATATTTTCTATTTATTTAGGAAAGGTCGCTCGCAAAAGTTATCTGTCATAATCACAGTGATTCACTCTTTTGGGAGTGAAAAAATTAAGAATTCATAGTTATAAACCCTGTTCTATATTTAAAACTATGTAATTCTGTGATTATCAGAAAACAAATAGGTATTTTCATTCGGAGCTAATTCGGAATAGAAATGAATTATATTGATATATTTAAAAACTACTACAGTTCGAACAAGACTATTACGTGTTGATATGGAACCTTATGAAGTATGAATATTAGGCTTGATGGTAAATAAAAGGTATCCTTATTTTCTACTAAATATTCGTCCAAATGTACCATGGTATGACATCCTCAGGCGCCTCAAGATTGATCCCATCAAAAAATACATAAAGGATAGAGCCCAGAAATTATTTGCGAAAACTGACAGACTTACCAACACCGCGTTATCAAATATCAGAATGGTTGCAGGCTCCTCGGAGATGTTCAGATCTAAGGTCAATTATTGCTTAGTCTGATGAAGTGATAAACAATAATCCAGTCAAGACGTGAAGAAGGGTTTTAAAAATACCTCGATTTAAGAAAGATTAAAAGTGCTTAAGTGCACTGGCTCAAATAGCTTCAACATAATAATTAGTTTAAACTATTAAAATTTTGCTAAATATTATCTACCTAAATATTATTTATAAAACAAAGTTTATTCTAATCGGCTGTAAAAATTTCAATTTCAGCAGATTCAAAACATCCTTTGTTACGGTTTAGATTTCACAAGCGCAAATAAAGTTTTTAATAAGTTCTAAACTACTTAAAAGTTTTTAATTTTAGATTTATTTTTTGGTTATTTCGTGCAGCAGTTATTTGCTTGATAACTTTAAATTTGCTCAAGAAAATTTGTTTACATAAGTTACTAATTACTAAAAACTCTAGCACCACACATAAAGGCAACAGAAGCATAGATTAACAACGTAGAGGACACACAATGAAAGTAGCTCGAAAGTAACAACAATGACCCAATAAATTGTAGGTAACATTTTGGCAACTGTGGCCAAAAAACTTTAACTCATCCAAAGTGCTAAACACAAACAAATACGTAACTAAACTGCTCTGATATCCAGCAGATATGGGCAGGAAGCCAAGACTGCCTGCATTATACGAGTAAAACGAAACAAAAATTGTGGAAAAAAGATATTGTAATAAAGGAAAACTGATACCACTACCCAACGTTGGAAACTATAATATCAACTTAAAAGTTTAACTGCAAATAAAAATTATTACAAAGGATTTTATATCTGAAGGTGTGAATATCATTCCAGCTTAAATTCCTTGCAAACGACAAGGGCCACGGAGCACTTACATAAAGTGTTGTTGCCATAATTTCCTAAGTGAGCGCAAAATTTACAAAAGCTTAGCATCTACCACCAGCGTAGGAGTATCTCACAGCACAATGTTTAACTGTTTAATTTGGGCCAAACACCAGGCGAGGAGCAACTTTGACGCACTTCAGTAGAATAACTCACTAACCTACTCACTACTGAAGCAGGCTAGCAAGCTAGGTAGCAGCTAGGTGGCAGCTAGGTGGCAGCTAGGTGGCAGCTAGGTGACCAAGCAGCGGAGTAATGCTACACGTTTTAAGTTTAACATCTTCGACCAAATCAAAGTGTTGATTATGATAACTGCTGGTAGGAGCCCGTAGATACTTATATTTATTAAAGCACTTACACGCCCACCCACCGAAGCATATTTAAGCATACTCTGTTCTTTGCCATTTAACTCGAGAGTTGAAATTAAAAATTAATCAGCAGTTTTTAGTGACTCAACTACACGTTGCCATTGCTCGCTGCAATTTTGCGCCAATGCTCATCACCAGGATAAGCTGCTCGGCTTTGGACTTCACCTGGAGCAGTTGCTGGCAAATTTTAAAAACCAAAAATAATGAAGCACAAATTTTAGCAGGTTTTGCTTTTATTGCTTTGGTATCGTTTGTTGGCATGGAGGGCACTTGGATGCTTGTACTTGGACAATGGCACTGCTTGAATGGATGTGAACTGTTGCCTATACATTGCATGGTTACACACTGACAAACTTTTATGTGCCTTTAAATATTGGTTGGGGTTTTTGCTAGGTTAACTTTTGATGCGGCATAAATTTTCGGCTCGGCTCGGATCGGCTCAGGTGCAAAAGAGTTATGTAGTGTTTATTGTTATGGTGATGTGTGTTTTTGTTTTAATAGCACTTTTGTTTTCAGTTCTTTAGTTTCTGTTCTGTTAGATGTATTTCATTTAGCTATCAACAATCCTTTACTATTGTGCTTTTCTGCTCTTCTCAGGGAAGAGGAAGCTATTAAACTTTGTTTTATGGCAACGTCATTTTCTTACATTAATTTTGACAAACGACTGACGTAGGCTGCAAAAATACTTTTCATCACTTGGACAATAAAAAAAATAAACAAAATTTATAAACGAAATTGCTTTACCAATTTGAACAATAGCAAAGAACTTTACCAGATACTCTACCAGATAAATCTCTGGTAAGCCAAGAACAGGAAAAATCTATCAGAGCTTAAAAATAGTACAGATTTGAAAGGAAAATCTGTTACACGTGCCGAAAATGTAGACTGCTTATTTGTTGTTTTTGGCAATTAACATTAAACTTTAAATAAGAATTATGAATCTGGATTATATTGCTTTTGTGGAAAGTATTTTGCTGACAAATACAGCTTACACTGAAGCAATAAGTCCTTTTAGAAAGAAATATGGTTTACTGATATATTTTCAGCTTTGAATTTGTTGCTTTTTTTAATGTTAAGTAAAAACGTTTTAATTTCTCATTATTTTTTTTTTAAGCTACAATCTCTGGTTTACTTATTTTTAACAATTCAAGTCTATGGAATCAACTAAGCTTTGATTTTTACCATCAGCCCTATAGTTTGCAAACTTACCCTGTCTTTATGCAGGGTATGTCTTTATTTAATGACAATGTTTCTCTGTTAAATTATATACAAATAACTAAACTTTTCCTTTAGTCCTATAGTTCATGAACTATAGTCCTATAGTTTCCTTTAGTTTGTGAAAACCAGACCATGTGAACTTATCAAAAATGAACGTATGAACACTGCAAGATTTACTGCTGTCCTTTCTGGTAATAGATGTATAGGAACCCATGCAGAGAAACCGTGCATTACTCATAATCCCCACTGCAGAAGTTGTGAAAACCTGTAGGAAAAATAAGCCTCTGTGTATCTCATACACTCTGTGTATGCCCGGTTTTGGTGTCCAACAGAAATAGGTTTTTAGAAATAAGGAAATTATTTTTTTAACATCGCTAACTGAGGTACTGGGAAAAATGTCTAATGGCTTAACACTGCAACCAACCATATACCATGTAGTCACAGTCCGACTTCAATGCTACATATCAAAAATTTTTACTAGCATATTGTAATTTATTTTGAACTTGAGACAAGGAAAATACCAACTATCTTACCTATACATATTTTAAGAATTAACAATTAGATAAGGATAATATTATAAAAATTATAGAAGAAATTTTTAATGAAAATTATGTGCTTGTATAGAAAGTTTAGTTAGTTTTTATTACGATAAAATTGGGAAACAATACCTGTCAGTTCTTTAAATCATTTTAGTGACTATATTTTACATAGCAGGTAAGGACATTATTTAGGCATTATTTTTTTTTATTATAAATAATTTTAAAATAAATAAGTAAAAGTCTAAGATACGAAAAACTGATCCAAAATAGTTTCCTCGTTCTGATTTTCATATATAATAAGCACCAAACAAAACAACAACAAATGGTACGATCACGATCTGTTGTCAACGTATATTATTAGTCGATTGAGATCTCGAATAGACAAATAAAAAGTAGAAAGAAGTAGAAGTAGTCTTTATAAGATTTTTTACAAATCTGGACATCCACATAATACGAATTTTAAAGTTTCCTTTATTTTAAGTTTGCTGCCTTTTCTACAGTTTTCATTCTCAGCTGTGCCCAATCCCATCTAAAGAGAAATGTTCACATTTCCTCAGCTGTGGGAAATGTTTTAAATTCCAAGAAACGAATTCAATTAAAGAAACAAATTAACATAACAAAATTTAATTGCAATATATAAATGAAATCATTTTTATTTGAATAATACAATATATAATCATGTGAGTTAATCAATAGAGTAGCGTTCCAAGTATTGAAAACGAAGAAGTAGGATAAATGAATGAAATATAGTATTACATGATTTCTTCAAAAATTTTGTCATAGCAATATAACTTATATTATAACGTAGAATTAATTTTTTAATATTAATTAAAAATTTTAAATATAAATTTAAAAATATTTGAAGTATGAATAGACTACATTTGACCGGGGCTCTTCATTAATGAACGCTTCCTGAATTTTTTAGCAACGTCAGCACATTTGTTAGTGATGGCAGCACGTATTTCGCGCTCTGGACAACTGCATTTCCTCATTATACAATATATAATATCAGCTACCTTAAGCGGGTCCAACTGCTTTTTCGCTGGATTTGGGCGATCAATAAACGCAGGTGATGGTTTTCCGGTGAGTGAATGAGTCGCCAATATTTCTTCATCAAAGATATTAGTAATCAAATTACGTGTAGCTGTTGAAGTTGTCTTCCAATTTATGCGCTCATATTTATGTGCCGGTAGTTGAGTTCCATTTGGTCCAATGATGATAACTCGTCCAGATTCAGTCATCTTATATTTTGGGTATTCTGGCTCCATAGAATTATGTGAATTTTCATCTCCAATCATTTCTTTATATTTTCTTTTTAATATGCTACGTTGAATTTCAGACAGAAAATAATCAGCTGGAACAGCCGGCACTATGTTAACCAGTGCCACTGGTGTATTATTTTGAGCTTGATATGGATAAAAAGATCTATTCATATCAACACCTTTTTCAGTTCCTGATGTTGTGAATTGTTGACTTATATTAGATATATTAGAAATATTGAAACTGTTGTTCATTAGCATGGCTGCTGCAGGTGACATACTTCTTTCCGCAGAGACCGCTATACTGCTACTGCTACATGGTGATGGATTATTTCTTGCGTTGTAATCGAGAATCTCTACCACAGCTGGTACACAAGTCGCTTCTTTCCTCTCAGTTAAATCATTTATTTCTGAGTAAGTAGCTGCTTTTATCTGCTCAACATTTTCATTTTCTTCATTTTTAACATTTTGTAAGTTTTGTAAGAGATTTTCGTAGCGTTGCCTTAGATCACTGACTTTTTTCTTCGGTTGACGTATGATACCATCCATTATTTTATACATATTGATAAGTTATTCGAAAGTTTTTGCTTATATCTTCAAGACTGCTAAGTAAAGAATGATGTTTTACTACTTCATTTCTATCGTTTATATACAAAATTTTTGCATTACGCGAATTTAGAAAAACAGTTAAACGATACAATTAATTGCTACCTGCTATAACCTCGACGACTCTATTTTGTCTCAATTCGATTCGCAGCATAAGTACCTACACCAACTATATCCTTAATGACAGGTACCGCGTCTGGCAAGAACATATTTCTACCTAATTTTATTCAGATAGTGATATAGATATTTGTGTCTTACATATTTGCTGAATAAACTATTTTCTAGGATTCAGAAATAAATTTTTAAGTTATTGACTTTCCGGGAATTGGCAAAATATTTGGAAATTTTTTGATCTGGAGGTTTTAAGGAATATTTTTACACTAGAAGTGATGAAAATGAGTTGATTTCGTAGGAACAGATGTTATTCAATCATGAGTATTTGATTTCATTATTAAAATGTTTTATTAAATATAAAGTTCTCATTAAATTTTTTTTAATATTATATTAAAAGTAGGAATAAATACTGATATTGAATACAGTAATTTAGGCTGCAATCTTAATTTCAGGCCCATATTGAAACTTAATATGTATCATAAATTGTTAAAAGATATAAAAATAGTACAACTCATCAAATTTTATTTGATTAATATCAGACTAGAGTTTTCAGGCGACCCATCCTACTAAAATATTGGCTCACCTTGTCCCTAACAATACAATAACTATATAACTATTAAAATAAATTTTCCTGAATACGTATTTATCTCAATAATAAAAATCTATATATTTTTATATACATAATCTCATAATATATGTAATCTATATTTACGTTTATAACTTCAAAATTATCGTTATCATTAAATAATCCACATTGAACAAAAGTTATATCTTGCTTGCAGAATATATCATATTCAAAACCTTTCTAAACTCCGATTATTAGTAACATAGTATATCTTTTGATGCCGCTTCCTGCACTTGCCGTTCTTTAAAACTAATATAATATAATATAATTAAAATCTATATAATTTAATATACATAATCTCATAAAATATGTAATCTATATTTATGTTTATAACTTCAATAATATCGTTATCATTAAATAATCTACTTTCAACAAAAGTTATATCTTGCTTACAGAATATATCATATTAAAAACCTTTCTAAACTACGATTATTTGTTACCCAGTGTATCTTTTGATCCCGCTTCTTGCAATTGTCGTTCTTTAAAACTAATATAATATAAAATAATAAACATCTATATCATTTAATATACATAATCTCATAATATATGTAATCTATATTTATAATCCACTTTGAACAAAAGTTATATCTTGCTTGCAGCATCTATCATATTGAAAACCTTTCTAAACTA